AGAATGTGCAAAAAATTCTGCAGAGTTGGATGAGTTCGTTAAATATACAAGTATCATGCAATATTTCTGACGATATATTTTTAAGGCAAGACCTTTAATTGATTGCTACGATAGAAATATTTCTTAGACAAATTTTATTATCTTCTTTTCTAATAAAACACCACATTATACTCTCACTTTAATATTTCATATTTAAACACAAGATCTATGAATAATAAAAAATCAAACTCACAATGAACTTTTAAATCTAAAATGAACAGAAAAAAATGATAGAGAATATAAAGAGAAAGGAAAAAGACAGGTTAACCGAAGGGAAATTGAGGGCTACTGTTGGAAATGAAACCAATAGCATCCCTAGTTGATACTCTAAGATATCGTTTAGATACCAAGAATATAAGATCTAGAATGAAAATGTAAGAATCAAAATAAAAATTAAAGAATCGGAATGACATTTACATTCTCATATTGCATTTGGAATATTAATAAAGAATAAAAATGAATTTAAATTTTTTTATATCTGATTTTTTTTATATGAATAAGAATAATGATTAAAAAAATAATTTAATCAACTATAATGATAGTAAACATAATAGATGTGGTGGTAGTGGTGGTGGTTATAGTTAATATACAATTAATAAAAATAATATATTATTATTTTAAAAAAAATCATTTTCATTCCTTGTTTTTATTCCCACCTTCTATATGAGAATGAAATTATGTGTAATTTTTATTCTCATTTTCACTCTTCATTCCCATTTGTTTCAATCAAATAGTTACAAAGTAAAAACAAATTTTTTTTTTTATTCTCATTACTCAATTCCCGATAATCAAACAATACTTGGAGACGTTCTTAGAGAAATAGGGGGTTTGAAAAATCATAAGGGTTAATACCCTGGTGTATCATTTTCAATATGTTCTTATTAAAAAAATGCTTCTCATTTATCCTTATATTTTAAGTTGGTTTCTAATTTATTTTTCTGATCAAAATTTTTGATTAATTTTCAAAAATTAATCTTTGTATTAGTAGATATAAATCATTTGTGTCAAATAGCAAAAATAATTTTATCAAATGACATACCATATGTAAATTACATGTTTAATTTGACCAAAAATTTTGTTAAATTATAAGTAAAAATATAAATGAAAAACCAGCTCAAGATATAAAGATAAATCAAAAACGTTTTTATTTTAATAAAAATGTATTAGAAATCTAACTCATTATATAAGGACATGCACAGGTATTAACTCATATCATAATGGATCCCATTTTTACATGAGTAGAAATTAGTTTATCGGAAATACTTAATATTTTCTCAATTTTTTTAAAATATGAACAATATTAAGTCAGGATAATTACCTTTTTCTTTTCTTTTCTTTTCTTTTTTGCAACTGAGAGGTCTGTACTCTGTAAGCCTCAACCACTCCAACCTCTTAGTTAAAAGGTACATGACCGCCATATTAAACAACAGCTCGCAGACCATGATAGGATGTGGGTGCAAACCTACCCTCTCCACTAACCCCAAATATTTTTAAAAGAAAAATTTTCATTCTTATTTATAGGATTCTTTCAATCAGGCCCATTTAATTTCATCCATATTTTTGATATCTAATTAATTTCATCTATATTCTTCTAATCGTTTTTGTCTAAAAGGTTTGATTATTAAAATTACGTCCCTGCCTCTCACTCTCTTTTTTTTTTTTTACGTTTATGTGTTTCTCACATTTGCCTGCCCCCTACTCGTTTTGCTTTAGCTCTGTGACTGTAGAAAGGAGTAGGGAGTATCATTTCTATCGGTACATTTATTTCCCAATTCAGATTTTAATATTTATAAACTTGATATAATTCCCATTTCGATTCAGTATTTATGAATTTTAAGTGTCACGTTTAGTGAGGAATTTATGAATTCACATGAACTTTATTTATCTTTTTTTTTTTTCCCTTCATGATCTAGATGTATATATGGCACTCAAATGGTGCTATATAACTAACCGATTAATATAGGAAAAACAGAAAAAAAATAATTTTATCAAATCAGATACTATGTGTAAATCACATGCTTAATTTGGTAAAAAAAAAATTAACTAAAAAGATAGACAAGAAATCAATTCAAATAATAAAAACATATTGGAAACTTTTTTTTAAAGATATATTGAAAAATTGACTATTTTATAAAGATAAGTAAGAGTATTAACTATTTTTTTATTCAAACGAATAAAAGTATATGAGAAACTCAAATCCCACCTTTATTTAATAAATAAATAAACATAAAAAAAATTCTAATACCACATGACAAGTCATATCTTTTTCAAATATTTTTTATAATAAATTGTGTCCAGTTTAAGTTTGTCGTGTGAGAGTATTTTAGTAAATTTAAAAAAAAAAATACATACTACAATGGTAAAATACAAAAACGTATTATAAACCGTTACACTTATATGAACATATCAAAGATTAAGTCCAAAATATAAGAATAAATTAAGCTGATTTCCGTACTTATGCATATTTTATAAAATGTGGATTTCCTTTCAATCTAACGGTTCACGCTCCCTAATATCGCACAGTGTAATTTCTTTCGTTGTACTTCTATTTTTGTCTCTTCTCGATTATTACCTATGATTTTTATTTCCTAATAATATTTGTTTCCATATTTTCTTCACCTCACCAGTCTAAATTTATTTCCTCTTAATATGTCGAGTTCAACTTGCTAATTTCTTGTTCATTTCTTTTTCATGGGTTCCCACCCCCACAATCAGATAAGGCTAAAGACCCTAAAAATAACATAAGTTGTTGAGTAATTTTTTAGGCAAAAACTAAGAAGTGTCATTGGGACACCTTTTAACCATTATCTACATGTATTTATTTTATTTCATTTATTATTGAACAGGGATCAAAAAATCAAATATTTGAACTAAAATGAATTATTTTTATTATAAACATTAAATAGGTATTATTTTGTATAATAATTTTTTAAGAGATAGCAATAAATTCTATAGCTAAAAAAGAAAACGAAGATTGATTTTGGGGTATTAAAAAACTCTTAATCAGTCTCTTAATGACATTTGTTAATCGATTTTTTTTATTGCTTTGAGGCCATTAAAAATCATCACTATGCTCAAAGAGTAACTAATAATAAACTTGAATAACTTAAAAATATTGATTTGAATGAAAAAGATTCTGATCTGTTAAAAAGTAATTTCAATTTCAAATTTTTATATACACAGAAAACTTTTTGTATAATTATATATTTTTTTATACCTGATTGAATAACAAGAGATCAGTCTATACTTTTGAGCCTGCGATATCCTAAAGATCCAAAAAGAAAAAAATAATACTAGGCCTAAATTCTGTTTATGAATCATTATTTTTATTTTATAGGCCTTTAATTTCTTATTTTAGCATATCGTTTTAGCTAGGTATTATTATTATTATTATGTTATTTTTTTACATTTTATTTTTTATAGGTTAAATTTAAACAAAAGAGTTAAGAGAAATAAGTGAGAAAATTTAAAAAAAGAAAAAAAGAGAGAGAATTAAAAAAAAAATTAAACTTGAGTGTAATTATTTTTATCACTATTAGCAAATTCTAATGTAGTTTTCTCTCTTATTTATATCTATCTCTTTTCAAAATAAATCCATAATATTAATATTAATAATTACTCTTTAAATATTTTTTAAAAATTCAATACGCCAAGAATTAAAAGATATTTAATACTTATGACACCAATCGAATATTTAAGCTCACTAGACCCACCAAGAATGGCTAGAAAAATATCCTGGGATCCGGAAATGTATTACACGCTCTATACTCTGCGCGAGTGAGCTCTCCTAATTTTGACTTGCCAAAAGCATCTATTTCGACTCTTTAAAAAAAAAAAAAACTCTTTAATTAATATAATTGTCATTTCACATTGATGTTCTTTATACGTGTTTTTTTTTAAAGTATTTTTAAATTTATTATTAGTTTATTTGTTTATTTTTATCCTTTGTTTTTTAAATTAATAATGCATCTTACTTATTAATTATTATTATTATATTATAAAAATATATTTTATATTAAATACTTAAAATATTTTAAAATTAAGTATTAAATGTACATAAAAGCAAAATAAAAAATTTGAAAAGAAAAAATATCAATGAATATTTTAGATATTTGATATATTATGATATAGTAATAAATATTGATGGAACGATGCATTGATAATTAAAAAATAATAATGGTAGTAACAAATTTGATGATAGATTTAGAAATATCCTTTCTTAATTTTTTTAAAACTAAGGTTTGGACTATTTTTTATAAATAAACTTTAGTTTTATTTTTTCACAAATATTATGAAAATTATTAATTGTTATGCTATATTTTCATATTGATATTTTTTAAAAAATTACCCTTTCTTAATTTTTTTAAAATAATGTTTGGACTATTTTTTATAAATAGACTTTAGTTTGGTTTTTTCACAAATATTATGAAAATTATTAATTGTCATGTTATATTTGAATAATTTTTTATAAAATAAATTTTAATTAAAGATATGTTAAAAATATATAACTTAAAATTTGATGAGACAAAAATTTTAAAAACAGATATAATTAAACAGGAATTTTAAAATAAATATAAAGATAAAGATAGATAGTGGTATGGGACAAAGGGGGTATTCTTTTTCTATCTATGGTAGCATTTTTAAAAGGAGAACACCATACGCCAATTCATAGGATAAAGGCCGCTGTATTATTAACAAACCATTTTCAAAATATAAACGAAAAGCCATAGAATTTGCAAGCTGTCAGTAAACGAATTAATACCAGCCTGTAAATTCGGGCAACACTAGCTACCCGCAACACTGCCCTAACCCTTCCCTCTCCCACTCGGCCACTCCTATATAAACATCCCATCCCTGTCTCTTCTTTTCAGTTCGCCTAACAAGTCACAAATCTCTCGCAAATTTTATTTCTCTCGCAAATTCTCTACTTTCTAAAATTCGAAAATCTCAAAAACAAACAAATGGCACTCTCAAAAGCAACTCTCATTGCTGTTTTGGCTCTGGCCTTCGCTGTCCTCTCCGTTCATGCTGCCGCTCCGGTGTACGCTCCAGCTCCTGCACCAACCGCCGCTGCTGCCGGGATCTCTCCTTCCTTGGGCTCCGTTTGTGTCGCAGCCGTAGTGGCTCTCTTTTTGGATATGGACTCAAGATCTGAAGAGTGACATGGAGCTAGGAGACTGTGCGTGGTTTTGAGATTTATATAGAGTTTTATTAAGTAATGAGGTTTTCTTTCAGTGGTGGATCTAGGGTTTTGTTTAGCGAGAGTAGTATACAAGAGTATTTTAGAGATTCAGTGAGTGAGGTTTTTATCATGTGGGTGGTGGTGCACAGCTGGTTATGGATTTCAGTATTGTTATGAATAAATATATTGGTTTATTTTAGCTTTATTGCTCCTTTTAATTCATTTTTTTGAATTTATTATTGTCTGATTTTATGTTTTATTTGATTGAAATTTGTGTGGCTTTATTATCACAATAAAGGAAGGCATGAAAAAGAATTTAGCATAAAACGAGACCCACAAGGAACAATCTGGAAGCCAAACAGTGACAAACAGTAGAAAATGTAATTTGGTTTTTTTACTTGTTATTCATGCTACTGCAGATTAATTTGAATCCTTAGGCACTAAGCTTAGGGGTCCCCGATAAGCGTGCTCCTACAGTACCATGTTTTTTTCTCGTACAGGGAAAGGAATCCAAATAATGCTTACCACTTTTGGACGACGCTTTAGGATGATAATGGAAATCCTTTACTTGCAAGTCACCAGTCCTTAATGCTTGATAGGTAACGGGAGAAATTTTATAATATTCAATTAGCTGTGCTCGTATTGTAATTATTTTATAGAGTTACTTATAATAAAGAGATAAATACATAAAATTTTATTCAAGAAAAAATTTATAATATTCAATTAGTTGTGCAGATAGTAATTATTTTATAGAATTATTTATAGTAAAGAGATAAATACATAAAATTTTATTTAGATTCATATAAAATTATATTTGTATTCATAAAAAGTGATAAGAAGAGATAAACGTATAAAATTATATTTGAATTCATATAAAATTATATCCGAATTCATAAAAAGTGGTAAGAAAATTTTTATATTCGATTTTTTTTTAATTTTTTTTATTTTTCTCTCTCTCTCTTTTATCTATATCTATCTTTCAAATAGATTTATAAAATAATTATTATACATACTACTAATTACTCTTTAAGTATTATAAAATTTATGAGATAATGGATCATAATTCAATTAGTTTTTGCTGAATGTAACGTCCCTCAGCATAGTTGTTGATAGCCCTTTTTTTTAGGAAGAATTTGGGAAGGAATTGAGACAAAAATATCTTAGTGCTTGATTTAATATATGCTGTCGCTGATTGTCTAAAAGCATATAATATATAATTAATTTAGGAGTCAATCATTAAGCGGTGGCTTGCAGCTTGCTATTGCAAATCGACACATAGACACTTCCTTTTTGTTTACTGCACTCTCCTCTCTGGCGTAGTTGTTTATGCTGAATAGGGGTTTATTATTATTCCTGCAGAGTGTGCATCGCATGTGACGTGGGTCCTGCACCTGCTCCCACTACAAAAATTATGCTCCCTCTTCTACGTCTTTCGGAAGTGAACAAACCAATCATCAGAGTCCACCTGTTTCTAAAACCATCTCATTAGGGAAGAATTAATATATTATTACATGAAGAAGAAATTATTTGATATCTTAATTAATAGTATTTATTTACAAAATGAAATTGTCAGATTACCCTCTCTCATTCTTTGTGTCATTAACCTGGATTCTGTTTCCTAAACAGCTATGATTTGGAAATCTCCAATTGTGAAAGTGGATTCTGTTTCTTAAATAATTATGATCTAAAAATATCTCACGGTGAAAATAGATTCTCTTTCCTCGACTTTGCTGATGATTCTTCGTTGGATTAAATGTAAATGCGTTTTTGCGAATTTTTAAGTATTTTGTTAAAAAAAATTAAAAAATTGATTGGTTTGACCAGAAGTTTATAATGTAATTCAACTTTCAACTCCAAATCTTATAAATTAAATTTATTATTTTATGTGCCTAGTTAAAATCAGTTTACAATTTGTAATCTATCCAGAAAAATCGGATTGTAAGTTGCACGATTGGTTATGCACAACAATAGTCGTTCTAATTAATAATCTAAACTTTTTAAGTCTTTATGCAATAAAAAATATATTTTTTCACTATTAATTTTTGAAATTAAACATATAAATTTAAAAAATAAGGTTGTAATTTTAACAATGCGCAAAATTTAAAAAAAAATACATTTATTTATTGATAATTGATAATGGCGAATGCTTATAAATTAGAACTCTTTCTTTCTATCAATAATTCAATTATCAAGATCACAAATAGAAATCGTAGTTATAAAATGATTATCTTCGTGTTTTTCATGCTACTTCGCAAGACTTCACGTTTCTTTATAATTATTATAATTGTGTCTTACTGGTGCTAATTTTTTGCTACTCTTTGTTACTAGTCATCAATCTTCTTCATGTTTGTCAGTGATGTTACCTTTCATGTTTATTTATCTATGCATATCTGTCCATGAACTTTTCAGCCAAAAAATATTAACTTTTCGATTACCTCACTTGTTTTCCTAAACTGTTGGGCCTAACAATTTCTCAATTACAGTACATATTTCTTTAATTTATTGAGTTTGTAAGTCCAAATTAAATTTTAGATGTAACAATATGTATTGTGTTTTTTCTTTTCTTTAACAAAAAGACATTTTTGTTAAACCAACGGTAGAATCTTTCTAGAATGCTCAAAATATGTTTGACAAAATACTTTATTGAAGTTCAATGTTAAAAAAAGTTCAGGTTTATCTTATAATTAATCCCTATATAGTTTTAATCTTTTTAATTGAGATCCTTTATGTTTTTTTTTTTAATTTAATTGAAACCCTATGTTATTTGAAAGTTATTAATTCAAACTCTTCGTTATAACATTGTCAACCATTCATTCGACGTGACATGTTATTATTAAGGGTAACAAATCATTGAACGACACGTGCGCAAAATGGGTCATAAAATACGATATTTCTCTCTGAATTAAAAAAAATAAATTACAAACTGATTTTAATAATAAATTAATACAAAAAATAAAATAAAAAATGTAAAAAGACCTAAACCCCCTCCCTCCACTTCATCATCATTATCATCATCAATAGCAACATAACCCAACAATGAGAGAATCGAAGATAAACTTTATGGCACCGCGTATGTGAAAGTATTTACTATTAGATCATAGTTTCAATTTAGCTATGCTAGCTAAATAAGGGTAGATATTGCTTAAGGACTCTAGTTTTCTATTATCGATCTTGGAGTGCAAGTACTTTCCCAATTCTGATTTCTGGGCAATACTGACTAAGAACAGCAGAAGATATACATGTAACAACATTTTCAGGAAGCTAACAGCAAAAAGGATATACCCTTGCCTTGACCCGCAACCAAGGGTTGTCGATCTGGGTACTCCTCCAGTAGGTCTTCTAAAAATAAATACTAATGCTATGTTATCTGCTGAGAGATGTGGAATGAGAATAACAATAAGAGATCAACAAGGCATGGTTTTTATGTCAGGTCACAACAGATTTGATTTTCAAAAGTCCATTCTTCTTGGTGAATTCCTTTCAATCTAGTGTGCTCACTCCTTGGCTCATGATGCTAGGTTTAAAAATAACCAGATTGAAATAAAGTACTTGCATGCTCACAATCTCATTGTTAAGGAGCAGGGTGGCATCTCTTCTAAAGTTTTGATCGTAGGGGATATTTCTGCTATGAAATCTCACTTTGATCATTTTGAATGTCTCTTCACAAGACGAGACAACAATGAAGCAGAGAGTTGTGTTTTGTTGCTATTTACGATGAAATGGAGGGAGGCGGTTTAGGTCTTTTCACATTTTTTTTGTATTAATTTATTATTGAAATCAGTTTGTAATTTTTTTTAAATTCAGAGAGAAATATTATATTTTGAGACCCATTTCGTCACATGTTGTTTAATGATTAGTTACTGTTAATAATAACGCAATACGTCGAATGAATAGGTGACAGGTTTATAACGAAGGTCTAAATCAATAAATTTAAAAAAATAGAGGATTTCAATCAAGCTGAAAAAATATGAAAGGTCCCAATAAAAAAATTAAAACTATATAGGAGCCAATTAATTTTAAACTCGGAAAAGTTCTATGTCATGTTTTTTCATTATTTTCTTGAGTATGAATTTATTTAATCAATCAAATGCAATTAGCATACGCATTGCAAAAAGAGAGAGAATTAACTTTTGTACTTTCTATTTTTTTTTCACGATAAAAATAAAGAAAAGAGCAATCCTGAATTTCGTTTTAGGTTTTTTCTAGTAATAAATTAAAGTCATTTAGTTTTAATTGATTTTCAAGAATATTATTTTTTTCTAGCGTTTTTTAGCTGCCTTGTTCCTTAATTTTCAAACTAGTGCGTCCATATTGATTGAAATGAACACGCAATCTGATCACATCTCACCGTTTTACTATTGAAAACTAAAGATTAAGCTAGCAATACGAGCCATTTTCGGTACGCATTTCTTCACCTTCGGTTCTTTAGCATACAACTTTGGGTTTTGCATTCTTTTCTTTAAGCTTCTTAGAAACAGAGTTTTCGAATAAAATAATTTTGAAATTTTTATTTACTGTAGAGGAAGAGTGGGCTTGGCCTGTGATTTATGAATTACTTGGACGTATCCGAGTTATTTATGAAATGAAGGGTATGGGTTTTGTCTTAGAAGTTTTGTTTTAGTGGTAGCTTCAGAGGCCCAAGGTCCAAACACAGCAGAACCAAAATGTCAGCTCCGCGTACCTCTGCAATCTTTCCACAGCTGCTCCAAAATATATCAGTTAGAAACTGCGAGAAATAAACAACATCATTTACAAGACCTACGCATAATTAGTGAGATCATCAGCACAAAAATCGGAAGGTTCCTATTTTGATTTAGCAAAATGGAGTTAGAATCCACCACCTCTTGATTGTTAACCGTACACAGCAGCTGTTCCCAACCTTTGAATCCACCTCCAAGTGCAAGCGTTTAAGCCCGAGTTTTACAGCCTGAAGTTCTTCATTGAGAGCGTCGCCAGCAGCAAAGCCTGCAAGAAAATTGCCCAGAGAGTCTCTAAGCAAGGTTTGTCTTGGAAGTTGATTTTGAATGGGATTAAAGTTTAGTTTTTATATGTGAAATTGGAAATAAAATTGATTTGGGTAGGTTTAATTCGGATGGAATCAAAACTATGGTAAGTGAAGTTGATAGATTTTTCTAGCGTTGTTCTTTTCGTGTCAAAAATGAAGGAAAATTGTTAGAATTTGGGAGAAGTCTGTACAGAGTCTACGGACCCATATTGGGAAAATTGCTAGAATTTGGGAGAAGTCTGTCAAAAATGAAGTAATAGTAATTAAGATATTTTGGGTACATGAGCATTTTATCTTATGATTTAGGCGCTAAGTAATAGTAAATAAGTATATTGAACGTAAGCTAAGGTTAAGTTATTCAGTTAAGTTAAGTTTGTTTACATGAGTTTGAGAGAATTGTTTTGAGATTTGATTCCATTATATTCCTTATGTTTACTTTCGTTTCATTAGTTAAATTTGGATTTTGGGCTACTTAATGTCCGAATGCCTATTGCTAACAAGGTAGTAATAACCTATGTGCACATATATCTTTGAATAAGATTGAGATCCGTTTGATTTGTACGATTGTGAGAGCTTCATGTCTTGGCCTGGTATTAGTTTGCTTTTTCCCTCCCTATAATTCATAAGTGAGACTTTTGACATAAGAAGTTCGATTGAAAAGTAAATATTATTTCAATTTTGGGTTATGCATTTGTAATTCAAAATGCATGTTTTGTTAAAAATTAAAACAAGATAGATATTTGTGTTGTTGGCTTGCCCTTTTCTAGTATATTTTGTATTGATTTCTTACTGAGTTGTGGAAATCTCATCCTTTCATTATATTATACTTTTCAGGTTGTAAATTATGTTAGTAGATTTAGTACCTTCATCTATGAGCATGTCTTGGGTTTGTGTAGGTAGCCCCAAATTTTCCTTCTTCGTAAGGGCTCACTTTGCTACCATTTTTGTTTTGTACATTTTTGTTACCTATGTAAATTTGTTAGTTTGCTCCAAAGTTTCAAAAGGTTTTAAAATGTTTTTCTAGTACCTTATGTATCTAAAGAATGTCTGTGAGAAAGAGCAACTTTTATGTTATAGTGTATAGCTTACTTTGGATTTTATTTGACAATGTGCTTCGATTGAAGGCTTTTACCTGCATCACTTTTGCTGGAATTGAACATGAATGATTTTTTTTTTACATGTCTTAATTACGACATGATTCAAGCGATATTGATGTTTAAGCTTTTTCCCTTGTGTTGCAGATGAGATTAACATGAGTTGGTGGGAATAAAGTACCTCAACGAGTACAATATAGAGACCCGGAAAGCAATGGCGTCACAAAGTCAAAATGCTTGTCGAAGCCCCGAACTTAGGCATGACCCAGTAACAAACCGATGGGTCATTTTCTCACCCAGCCGTGCAAAAAGACCCACTGATTTCAAATCCAAAAACCCTCAAAACTCTAATCCCAACAACAATTCTTCATGCCCTTTCTGCATTGGCAATGAGCATGAGTGTGCACCTGAAATCTTCCGAGTCCCATCTGACCTGAATGACCCAAATTGGAAACTCCGGGTCATTGAGAATCTCTACCCTGCCTTGAGCAGAAATCTCGAGTGCCCATGTGAGGAAAAGCAGGACATAGGGTTTCCAGGTCAGGTCATTGGCGGTTTTGGGTTTCACGATGTGGTGATAGAGAATCCAGTTCATTCGGTTCAGCTGTGTGATATGGAGGCGAGAGAGATTGGCAACATTTTTGTTGCTTATAAGAAGAGGATTCAGCAGATTATAAGCGTTGAATCCATTAAATATGTGCAGGTTTTTTTTCCCTTTTTTTAGTGAATTTATGTGTTTTTATTTAATTGATGAATATGGATTTCTTTTGAGCCATTTGTTCAAGTATGAGTAGATTTTTCAGTATTTATAAGTACTTTTGGTAATGGTATTTTTTTCTCTTGAATTTTAAATTCATAGCAAAACAAGTTGAGCTTCTCTCTCTCTCTCTCTTTCTCTATCTTTCTAGGGATGAACTGTTAATATCGGCTTTAAGATGAAGTTTTTTTATGCTCTGAATGATGATAATTTTGTCTATATAGTACAGGATTCTTTATGGACTTGTGGTTCTATTGCAGTACTAGGCATGTAAATTTTTGTTCATTTTGTAAAATTATATTTCAATTTGTTGCAAAACAGTGAACATCAACAAGCTTTGAACTAAAGGAGGCTTAGTTAAAATTTTAACCCATCAAATTTGCATGCACATGTATGTGTTGTCGTGCAATGTCATCTGGATTGCCTGTCTTGTTAAATTGCGTTTGAACTTTCTATTTTGCACTGATATGCAATTGAACTAACAATGGTCCTTGTTTTACACTTTAGGTTTTCAAGAACCATGGCGCATCTGCTGGAGCATCGATGAGTCATTCTCATAGCCAGATACTGGCTCTTCCCATTATTCCTTCATCAGTTTCTGCTCGACTTGACGGCACCAAGGAGTACTTTGAAAAGACTGGAAAATGCAGTCTCTGTGAAGTTCGAGCAAAAGAACTTTTGATTGATGAATCAACCCATTTTATCTCCATTGTTCCCTTTGCCGCCACATTCCCTTTTGAGACATGGATTATTCCCAGGGTTCACTCTTCTCATTTCCATGAACTTGATAGTGAGAAGGTAATTTTCACTTGTTGGTTCTACTTTCTGCAATTCAAATCTTTTATTTTGTGCAGGTTTTCAAATACAACCTGATATTGTTGTCTTTTTCAATTTGATTTGGGTTTGGCAGCTACATGAATTTAATTTCATTCCTTGGTTAAGAGGAAAAGGGTGTGGAAACAGTCACCAATACAGCATTATACACATGTGTGACACTTTAGATTATTTTGTTAGTACTTCAAAATTAAACCACAGAGAGAAACAAGGGTGGTATTTCTTGATTTTGTGGAACCCGGAATTTGGATTCTAAATGTTTGTAGCTTGAGCATGGAGCAATTATTATCCTGTGCTAGTTTAGTCCTCAAACCTTAAAATCTGTAAAGAATGGCAAGGAATCTTATGTCGAATGAGTATGTTTGAAAGGTGTCATTGGATCTTTTTCGTTTTTGATCATTATTGGTATAATTTTGCCAAAGAAGAGGAAGATTTTTTTTTCTTTTTCTTTTTGTCAGAAATAAAAAGAACTATGTTAGTGTATAGACAATTATAAAGCTAATAAGGAGTCTTTATATTTATTTGGGAAAAAGTAAGATGTCTCAGATGGAATACCTAAAAGTAGATTAATGAGATAAAAGCAGGTTTAGTGTGGATGTGTATTTAAAGATAACTTACCTTCCTAGTGTGGCTTAAGAAGATGATTATGATAAGCAATAGACTATGATTCGGCATGTAAAATTCTCCCTACTTGTTTTTCTTCGTGAAGTATAAAAGCACATTATATTCATGTACTTTATATCGCCTAAACTATGTGATGCTTTTGGGCCTTGGATAATAGTTTTTCCTGTAATTATCGTTGCACATAGTGTAGGGTTCTTTTCTGCGATTGTCATTTTATCCTTATTTATGTGCAATTCTGCAGATGGTTGATCTCGGCGGATTGCTGAAGCTCATGCTTAGGAAGATATCTCTACAATTGAACAACCCACCATTTAACTTTATGATCCAGACGTCCCCTCTTCAGGTTAAAGAATCAGAATCATGTTATACTCATTGGTTTTTACAGATAGTACCTCAATTAAGTTCAGTTGGGGGGTTTGAAATTGGAACTGGTTGTTACATAAATCCTGTTTTCCCTGAGGATGCTGCACAAGTTATGAGGGAAGTTAATCTTCCAGTGGAGGGTTGAACTGATCACATTCATACTAGTAATATTACTAAGAATTACAAGAGACATTTGAAAACAGAGATTAATAAGGAGAAGAAAGTCCCGTTTTATAGACTCGATTGAAACTGTTTTTTCTTTTGTGTGTTTGGTATATATGCAAGGAAAATAAAAGTCTATTCAGTAGAAGGGTGCAGCAAAAGCTCCCATGGGTCTCGCATGGCTGATGTGCTCTCTTTAGGCTAGTATATGTAGTGCCAACTTTCACCTTCTTTCTACTTCAACGATTGCGTGGCCTATTTTCCAGCCCAAAAGACTCAAGAACTATGGAGGAGATTGCAAGGCCCTTAATTGGATGGGCTTCAATAATGATTCCTCCAATTTTGATACCTTGGGATTAGGACTGTCAATTGATTGGATTTTGATCCAAATCTAATCCAATTTTGATTTAACTAAATAAATTAGCTATGTAATTTTTATGATGCGAGATTAGTTATATGAATTTATTAATCTTTTTATAAAATAAATTAAATACAGATCTACTTTGGTTAGGTTAGATAATAATCTGATTTAAAATTAATATTAATATTATTTTAAATAAATATAATACTTTAAAAATATATATATATATAAAAATAAAAAAAGATATGGCATTGGGTTTAGATTAGAGTTAAAAAAAAAATTGGATTGTTATTGTTCATTTGTCGTTTGCCATCACCCTTGGCATTAGCTACTGTTAACTATCACCCTACTTTTGTGATTTTAAGGCATTTGATATGTGAGTTTTGTCGGATGTTGCATTTTCATTCCCAATGTTTCCAAAAGTTTTTGTTTTAGTTTTTAAGGTCATTTGTATCATGGTTTGATAACTAGATGCATAAAGAAGGGAGCAACAAAGAGAGAGAAGATAGGAGAAATTAATTTTTTTCAGAGAAAATTGTTGACTACTTTCAAAATCATGCTTCAATGTAAAACAGGTTTCAATTATTGTATGTAAGAGAAAAATATATTATGATAATATATAGTATGTCAATTTTAAAAAGAACCAAATATCTCACCTTTTAAAAAAAAACAAAATCAAATAATTTTGATAAAAATTTATATTAAAGGTCAAAATTAATTTTAGGTAAGAAGTATGATAAAGTTAAAAAAAAAACAAAAACAAATACGAAAATGAAAAATACTTACTCTAGTCACAACTTGAACTTTAAAACACTTTTCAATGCAAATAAACACTAAAAAAAAAAAAAAAAAAATCAAATAAAAAACCTCAATTTTTCTTTTAGATCCAATATACCTTTTCCAACCAAAAAAATAACTTGGTGTATTCGGCTTGGCTTAATTCTTTACAAAATTGTTGTCAAGAATTAAACAAGAATAAAAATATTTCATTGTTTATTAGTTTTTATATTAATTGTTGTTCAATTTTTTCAAAAAAATCCTATGAAAAAATATTAAGGCTTTTTTTTTAAAAAAAAATTGGTTTAAAATTTTTAATTAGATTATTGTAACTTTTTTCTTTTTTATTTAAGAATCGATGCATAAGGAAGAACAAATCATATTTTTCTAAGTAAAAAATTAATAAAAAACTATGGAAGAATTAATTAAATATAAAATTTTGATTAAAAAATTAGATTTTTTTCATCTTTGTTTCAATATATTTTAGTAGACCTTCAACATAACGCATACTAGAAATATTTTTTTTCAAATAATTTCACTTATTCTATTTGATTCGTAATGTAGCACGAGCAACAAACTAATTTGCTTGAAATGATAAAGAAATATTCCATGAAACGTTCTATATTTCTGTTTCTGATGGAAATTAGAATTCAATTCTTACGTGTTAGAATCCGAATATTAATTGCAATTGCAAAACTCGAATTTGGTTTCATAAAATTCAATTCCATCCATTTATGAAACAACTCAGATTCATATCTACTATGTCTAGGTTCAGACGTGATTTTATACTCATTAATAGACAATATGTTACAAACTTAGTGATGCAGGGAAAAATCGTAAAAAGATTCTTTAAAAACTCTCCATACTATTACGTCGTCGATAAGGGATTTAGTGACCCTTACATGATTACTCAATCGCTGGTCGAAAAACTGATGAAATATAGGGTTTTCGAGGTCTAATTTGGCATGTTCAAGTCCTTAAACAACACTGTGATGTCTTGGCTAACATTGTCTTTAATGATGATTCTGATGACCAAGTTGAATATGACTTGATCCTCAAGCAGCGATGGCAACGAGTCGAGTATAAAGTAGATATATGTTTTATTCGATCTAATAAATATTCATTAAAAATATCTAATGAATATTAAAGTGAATAAAAGTAAAAAAAATATATCCATTAATATGATTTTAAGGTATAGATATCCGCTTTTTTCTCTATTAATTTTTATTATTTTATTTTGATTTTTTTTAAAAACATGCAGAAATCTAATTGCATAAATTTTAAAAATTAAGTATCAATTTTGTTTTTTAAAAAAAAACTTTAGGGACCAAAAAACTTATTAATAAATGATCAAAATGTAAAAAAATAATGTTAAGGACTAAAAAAAACTTTATTAAAAATTACAGAGATTAGAATGAAATATTATTTTTTTGACAGAGTGAGTGAAAAATTGAATTAAACCATCCTCAAGCCTATTGTAGGCGGTCTCCTACTAGTCCAAACAACTAATGTCGTTACTTCTTCGAAACAACGGATGATCCATAAACTCCAACCATCAAAGTACGTAGGCCATGCAATAATTGATAACTCAAAAATGACACCAATAATTGTTCCTGTTCATTTGGCCACGAAACAAAAGCTAGATTTTGCATCGGAGCTCTTTCGACAAACCAGCTCAAGGTTTGTCTTAAACATCCTTCTTTAATATCATTTTGTTCGTCGGACCATTTGCCTGCGAATAGAAAAGGGTCATTAAAAAAAAAAAAAAAGAAGCAAGGAAAATGATTTGCCATCGTCGACGCATAAACAGATTAGAAAATATTTACTGTAAGATTCTTTCGCATTTAGGCCTCAAAATCGCTTTAGATCTTAAACAGTTTCGCTTCACGACAGCTTTTCACATTTTTTCTTAGCCTTCGTGGTTCTTTTTCTTACCATCACAAGGGAGATTGTTTTTTATAGCCACACTTAAACTCCTTCCGTGGATGGATCCTGCTTAACTATCTTCTCCGATAAACTCAGAAGCTTCAAGCCAACCAGCCGTTGCAAACACCTGAGCAACCTGCCGAAGCTTCGTACCGTGAATCTCCATTGCTTGGTTTTAAAAAAATAAGGAATTCTTTTGCCCCAATACAAAAGGTATTTAACTCAAGAAACCATCGCAATTCATTCATAACGATCATTTTTAAAAACTACAAGTATTTTCATTACATCCAAATCGAAGATGAAGCCAGGCAGCGATTCTACTAGAGAAGACCATGGGTAGGCCGTTCTTTCAATCAACAACATAAAGTTTCTAACTTTTAAGTCATGTAACTGTTTAATTAGTATCGAAATTTTCTGCAGTGAGCTAATAACCTGTTAGGCGCTTAGGTCCTTCTCTGTAAGAACAGATCTTTTGTTATTCTCTAAGATTTTAAAATATCACGATATTTCTTATGCTTTTGCAAGCGACAATGCTCTTCCATAAACGCTTCTGGAAATGTGTTTATTATCTTTCGTTAGGATGTCATCTAACTCTTCACAAATGCTTCACAAAGATTTTCTTGTTAATATTCAGCTATATATTTTTTTTTAAGATGTGTCCACTTAAAAGCTTAAATTGATAGGTGAGGCTTTAGAATATAATTTATACTAAGTATCTAATACACTCCCTTAAGTGAAAAGCTCACGTTTGGAGCATGAAACTTAGACATGTTTATTTTGTTTTGTGCTTAATACTTGAAAAATTGGAGATTGTGAGACTTAAACTCGATACGTCAAGGTCAACCAAGCTCTAATATCATATTAAAAGACCATCTTATCTAAAAATTTAAACTAATAATTAAGATTCTAGAATATAATTTATATTAATCTAACACATCTTGAACGCTATTTGCATGCTTGACTTCCACCAAATTAGGATAGGCTTTTGCCATTAAATATTATTTTTTCCATGCACAATCAATCAATTCATGTCCCTATAGCCTCATAATAACCTTCGTTCTTTACGTTAGATACAACTGCTCCTCCAATGCTTCCTTTGTTTTTTCTCTGCCAAATAAAATGTTGAAATATGCCATCTTTCAATGCAACGAAAAACAAGATTAAACTATGTCAATCCCTGGCCAAACGAAACCACTATAGGCCTCACAACCAGCAATTTGATGTGACAAAGCAACCTTTAAATAGGTGAAAAGAAAAAAAAGTTCTAGGATGGTGTTTATATATATAGACACGTGGTGATGATGATGAAAACCATGCAATACCAATAACAAGGTTCCTATCTTCCTTCTCTAGCCAACCCAAGCCACTCTCTAAACCTTTCAAACACAACCCATACGTATAGCCAGCGGGCTAAATACACCAAGCCCCTATATTATTCAATAATGTTTATTTTAACTCTTCTATCCAGATATATTGTGTAATAAATTTTATATTATTACACATTGGTACAAATCAACTCTTTTGTTAACTCTTTTCATCAAATTGACCAAATTCTATTAATTGATTAATGCTGACCATTCATATGACAACAAGTATCATCTAAAAGGTAAAAATGTAATTTTTCATTTAAAATTAGTTTTTTTTCTCAAATTTTTATTAATTTAAAATAATTAATAAGCATAAAATCATTAAAAAATCAGTTTTTTTCCAATTTTTATTAAAATTATTACGTTAAATTAAAATGTATTTTTTATAATTTATTAAGCTAAAATAAATTATTTAAAAAATAATTTTATAAATTATTTAAAAAACTGATTTTGAAATTTTTATTTATTATTTTAACTTAATAAAAATTTGAAGAAAAAAATTGATTGATTATTTTTTTTAATTTTTATGATTTTATAATACTTATTAATTATTTTAAGTTAATAAAAAATTGAAAAAATTGATTTTAAATGAAAAATTATATTGTTACCTTTTAGATGACACATGCCATTACATGAATGATCATACATTAGTCAATTGATAAAATTTGATCACTCTACTGGAAGGAATTAATAAAAAAACTGATTTGTATTAATGTCAAATAATACGCAATTTATTATGCACTATATCTGAATAGAGAAAATAAAATAATCGATAGTATGAGAACGTGTCTCTTTAACCCCATAGCCAGCCTGTCTTGAACAACAACAGGTATCTATGATCATGCTTCTTCCTCTTCATTCCTTGTTGCGTTTCAACTTTTTGTTTTTTGTTTTTTTTTTGTTTTTCTGTTTTTAATTTAAATTCTCATCACATGATATTATGTTATAGGTTCCAACCGTGGGCGGCGATTGTTTGAAAACCAAAACAAGACCACGATCCAACCCTTCCTGCAATCGCCAATCCCAAAATTTGAAGTGCTGGCATTATCAATCTACAATATATTTTCTCTTTCTCTAATTTTTATTTTTCGTCTTATAGAGCATTTACTTCACTATTCCAAGTCACAATTAATGGCATCGACACAACATATATATGATCATTTGGCATGCTCGCAGTGGTACAGCCTTGTTAGGCCGACCGGAGACACATATTCTTGCAAAGTTCATGGACGGCTAGCTGCACCATGATCCAATCCCAAGGTGAATGCCTGTAAATACTGTTAAGGTATGTTTTGTTCCTTTCACGTTCTTACTGCTAAACACCTTTCTTGATACAACTCTCCCAACTTCTTTATCGCGGATACCATGTCACTTGTATCATTCAAGATCATGACAACGTTGAAACCATTAAGGTACTCGTTCGTTGGGGATATAACCACCATATGCTTTGGCTACCCGAGCAAGCATCTGGTCCACAACCATGACTGCATCGACAAATATTTTGTCCCTCAGCTCTTGCTTGATTCCCTCAATCAGTTTAAGGTTTTTCGTGTCTGCTGTAACCTTTTTTTACAACTTCGTTATAGAGCATCGCCTCTACATTTCTCATGTCTTCAATGTCGAAGATGAAGAGCCAAACTAGCCTGACTTGCCAGCTGCATTAAAGAAAACCTTTGTATCATCCACGCATTTATCCCTGTCCTTCAGAATCCAAATATTAATGACTTGCCAAACCATCAATAATCAATGGATCGGTTCTCTTAGCAAAATCGATATTCACGTTTAATAAATATCCTCCTCCTCCTTTTTTTTGCTACATGCTCGTGAACTTCCATGCAAAAAAACAGAAAAAAGAATCTAGATTCTAGAAACACATCATCCTTATAGATTCACTATGACGATTTGCAAAGGTTTCAACGCACTATCAAAGCAATCTACCGTTAACCACGCCAACACTTTAACATTTCTTGACAGTCTTTTTAATCGCTTGCAACCTTATGCATAGATAACGGATGCTCCTGCACGTGTTGTGCTGGCGCGCCCTCAACGAAGCGTGGCAATCTAGTGCTATCCATAAGACAGTGATATATTGGCTATATTAGATTTGATTACCGGAAAATTATTGGTTAACTTCGATATTTATATTTGTTTGGATTTTATTAATTCTAGAATGACAAATAAAAGGGGGTGTTATTCCCACTTCATGAATTATTAATCTCACTCTATATTTATTGCAAGTTTTATTGATAGATTACATTACCTTTTACCTTTAATATAACTATAAAATATCTCATTTTGATAAAATAAAATTTTATTGAAATACCTCTAATTACCAAGATATAATTCAGATAAAAACAAGAAATATATAAAAATTGAAGTTTATGTTATAAAAGAAATAGGAATAATAGGAGAATTGAAGAGAAAAATAAGAAAATGAATTCAATATAAAATAAAGTGAATACAAGTGATAAGAACTTCAAATTATTCTCTTAATCTTCCCAAAAAACTTGTACTCAAACTGATAAACAATCAAGCTTATTTATAGGCTTCAAGATTAGGAAAAGAATTGAAAAGGACTATGAGCTATTAAAAGATCTATATATAATTGAATAAATTGCATCGCATTTTCAATTTTTCATATTGAATGATGAATTAAATCAAATGAGTAGTGGGGATATAAAATAATCATGAACATTCATTATTTCATAACACTCTTCCTTGAATGGTCATCGTACAAGGAATGTTAAAACCTTATTAGAAAAAAACTCGGTGGGAAAAAATTTGAAGAAAAAAGAGTACAATATTCCTTGTACACATTAATCTTAATGTTGAGTTTCCTCCGTTGAAAACATCATTTGAGATCTTTAAGACGATGCATTTCAATTTTGTGAATTATCTTCTCAAAAGTTATGGTAGATAATGACTTAGTGAACAAATTTGTTGGATTGTCACTTGATTGAATTCTTACTTTAATTGAATTATGGTGGTAGCATTATCTTCATATGATATTGTTGAAACTTCTTTACTCGTTAAATAAACCGCATGTCTCTCGGATATAATGGATCATTGATCTTAGCCAAACACATTCTCGACTTACCTCATGAATTTATATTTTTGCATTATTTGAATATCTAGTATTTATAGTTAGCTTCATAGAACATCATGATATAGCTATATCACCAATTGTAAATACATAACTCGTTTGTGATCGAGTTTTGTATGGATTGGGTAAATAACCCTGTCTCTGCATAATCAATTAAATCTAATTTTGATTTATTTAATTAAAATAAATACCGTATCAATTTTTTCTCGAAGATAACGTAGAAAATATTTAATTTTATTTCAATGTTTCGTATTGGAGCGTAACTATAATTTGCTAATAAATTTATAGAAAAGACGATATCATGTCAAGTATTATTAGTAAGATATATCAATGCATCGGTGGCACTAAGATATGGTATTTCATGATCAAGTAGTTCTTTGTTATCTTCTCAAGGTTGAAAAGAGTCTTTTTCGAATATCAAGTGAATGAACTACCATTGGGCTAATTAATGGATGATCTTTATATAGCATAATTGTAAAACCTTTATATATATATATATATATATATATATATATATATATATATATATATATATATATATATATATTGATTGATAAATGAAAATATCATTCTCTATGTGCTCGAACAGTAGGTCAAGATAAAATTTTACTTTCTTAAGGTATTTCATATCAAATTCTCTTTTTAGATAACTTATAACACTTTGAATCTTTTCAGGAGTTCTAATAATATTTAAAT